GAACAAAAAACTCGAGCTGTCTACTTGTATGTGTACCGAAGACACTGGCTGTGATGATAACTGCCAGAACCGCTATATGTTCTACGAGTGTGACAATGGTAACTGCAGGCTGGGTCCCGAGTGCGGTAACCGAAATTTCGAGGGCCTTAAGCACCGGACCAAGGCCGGGGGCAAGTATAACATTGGAGTCGAAGTTATCAAGACAGCAGATCGCGGGTATGGCGTTCGCAGCAATCGTTCCTTCGAGCCCAACCAGATTATCGTGGAATACACCGGCGAGATTCTTACCCAGCTTGAGTGCGAGAGGAGGATGAGAACAGTATACAAAAACAATGAAGTACGTGCCCTTTCTGTCGGTGCTTTACTACTTACTGACATCGTGAACTAGTGTTACTATCTCATGTATTTTGATCAAAATATGATCATTGATGCTACTCGCGGGTCTATTGCTCGCTTTGTTAACCATGCCTGTGAGCCAAACTGCCGTATGGAGAAGTGGACTGTCGGTGGCAAGCCACGCATGGCACTTTTCGCTGGGGATCGAGGAGTCTCGACAGGGGAGGAATTGAGTTATGACTACAACTTTGAGTGCGTATTACATGCATATCAAGCCACTTGACCATGCGCTAACACTATACCAGTCCTTACTCTAGCAAGAATGTTCAACAATGCCGCTGTGGATCAGCGAACTGTCGAGGCTTCCTTGGTCCCCGACTAAAGGATAAGCAGCAACGTGCCAAAGAACTCGAGAAACGAAAGGCCGAGGGAATTCAGCAGGCAACTACAAAAAAGGCCGTCGATAAGAAGCGAAAGGTCTCAGAAGAAGTCGAAAGCGACGACTCCCATCAAGGTAAAAAGCGCAAGATGACCAAGTCCAAAGCCATCAAGGCCGGCGTGAAAAAGGCCATGGCTACCGTTTGTGGGAAGAAAACGACCAAGACAACGGCAAAAGCCAAAAGCACAACCACTGTCAAGTCGAAGACCAACGTCAAGCTACCAACCGTGAAAGCTACAGGCCGGATGAAGGCCACTGTTCGCTCTTCCCGGTCTAACAGAGCAGCCAAGGAACCCCCGGCTTCTCCCAAGAGAACATCCCAACTCAAGAGGCCTTCTACTGAGACTAAGAAGCAAATCCTCGCTGCTGCTTCCAAAGGCTCTGGGGCTCCTCCCCGCAAGTCTGCGAAAAAGGCCCCTACCCAGAGCCCCGTCAAAGCTAAGAAGCCTGCTCCTAAGGCTAAGAGCACTAGCAAAGGGAGATTTGGCAAGGGAGTCAAAACTGCGGCTCGCCGTGTTATGAAGTCAGTGAAGGGAGCAAGGAAATGATTGATCTCTGGTCAGACTACGGTCGTTATTGCTGTTACGGACTTGCTTGAAAGGACCGAATTATTTGCACAACACATCTTTGCTGTCTGGAATCCTAGGTCTGTATTCTTTGTTGACCTTAATACTTGCCAGTGGTCCATTCGTTCTATTCTATTTGATAATTTTCTGGTAATTTATTCTCTCTATGGCTAAAATTCGGGTTGGCAATGGTCCCCTTGCTTGACATCGTGTCTTCCCCCTTCACTCCCCTTTGCTTCCTTTCGATTTCCCTGTGCGTTTTATTTACTATGGCTTCATGATTCCTTCGGTCTTGATTTATGCGTCACGGTTATGAAAGTGAGAGATTCTGATATAGCCAGGGTAAGATGCCTCTGAATTCAACATGGTTTCCTCTGGACTTCCTATACTCTTGTAGACCTTGGAAGTCTATAAAGTGTAGATATAGTACCCCATATATCATTCCAAGTTGGATGCATTTGTTGGTAATTTGTCCATGTTTCTTTTTCCCCAAGAGCTGTAAATTGCAAGACTATTCTACAACTGCCTTCTGACCACCCTATTCTATGACACTACTCATCTATCCAAGCTAGTAAATCATATAGTGTAAAAGGTTAGATCATCAGACCAAATCTATTGGCAAATTGAAACTATCTAAACCAGGGGAATCCATAGAAGAAAAAAAAAGCCCACGAGTTAAAAGCCAGCACTTTGTTCTATGTGCGGCAAAACATTAATCGACTCCAACAAGCCTCACGCAACCTGAGAAATTTTAAATACGCTCCAGGAAGCCCTGGCTCTCCAAGATGAGAATGATTTCGTGCACAATGCTGCGCACACTCTGCTTGGAGAAGTCGACAACGAGATCAGCCTTCTCAGGAGTCTCGTAGGGGTCATCGACACCAGTGAAGCCCTTGATCTCGCCACGACGGGCAGCATCGTAGATGCCGCGCTTGTCGGACTTCTCGCAGTACTCGAGGGGAGTGGCGACGTGCACCAAGAAAAAGGAGCCAGCCTGGGAGACGGCGTCGCGCGCGAACTTGCGGGACTCCTCGTAGGGAGCAATGGGGGAGGCGATGACAGCGGCACCGGCACGGGTCAGCTCGGTGGCCACGAAGGCAATGCGCTGGATGTTGGTGTGGCGGTCCTCGCGGGTGAAGCCCAGCTCGGAGGAGAGCTCGTGGCGGACGGTGTCACCCAGCAACAGGGAGACGGAGCGACCACCCTGCTGGTTCAGGGTGACCTGCAAAGCACGGGCGATAGCGTCCTTGCCGGAGTTCATGTAGCCAGTCAGGAAGATGGTGAAACCCTGGGTGGCGCGAGGAGGGTTGGACTCGCGCAGAATTTTGACAACCTCTGGGTAAGAGAACCACTCGGGAATATGGGCACCGGAGCGCAGACGACGGCGGAGCTCGGTACCGGAGATGTTGAGGGTCTTGACGCCAGCGGGGACCTGGTCAACGGGGCGGTACTCGTCGGTATCGGGGAGGTAGGTAACCATCTGGAATTCGACAACCTCGATGCCGAGCTCATCCTTGTACTTCTCGACGGCGTGTTGAGCATCGTAGGGACCGTAGAAATCCTCGCCCTTGGAGTTGGAACCAGGACCGGCGTGGTCACGACCAACAATGAAGTGGGTGGCACCGTGGTTCTTGCGGATGATGGCGTGCCAGATAGCCTCACGGGGACCACCCATACGCATGGCCAGACCGAGGAGACCCAGGACGGCCATGCCGTTGGGATAACGGGGAAGGAGCGCCTCGTATGCGCGGACACGGGTGAAGTGGTCAATGTCACCGGGCTTGGTCAGACCGACAACGGGGTGAATCAGGACATTGGCTTGGCGGGAACGAGCCGCGCGGACAGTCAGCTCACGGTGAGCACGGTGCATGGGGTTACGAGTCTGGAAGGCGACGACGCGGGACCAGCCCAGTTTGTCGAAGTGGACACGCAACTCTGCGGGGGTGTCTGTGGAGGGATTATTAGCTAGATTCAAGAATGGGATGGGGAATTGAACATACAGCGGAGGGCGACATAGTCGTAGTGGTTCAGCTTGTTGACAGCCTCGATCTTTCCACCAATGTAGAACTCCTCGACGGAGTTGTTCAAATACACGATAGCCGGGTGCTCTGGGTCACCGCCGAAGACAAGCTTAGCCTCTCTAGTCCTAAATTGGAGAACCGCGTCAGCGAGCCCCACTATAGCACGAACCACATCGACTCATTGGGTAAGGATTGAAGTTTTGTGACATCAAACGGTCATGATAAAGATAAAACAGGGTATCCGAGGAGAAATAACGATCGACAGTGCGACCGGTTTCGGCAAATTGTGAAAGAGAAAGGGAAAACTCACTTGTCGGGGTGGTAAATGTCGTCAATGGTGAGAATAGCCAAGTTACGGTCGTCACGGAAGTCACGTAGGGTGATGCGAGTACCGGCTTGGAGCTTGTTCTCTTCAATAACCTTTTTGCTAGCGTCGAGGGTAATGGGCATAGAGAACACATTGCCATCGGCAAGGCGGTTGTCCTCACAGACACTATGCACATTGTCAGCTGCTGCTGTTGTATATTTTCGTGCAGAATGAGGGGTTTCTCATTCCAATGGGATCATCTGTATCAAACATACCGGTCGTAGTCTGCCTGGTTCATGAAACCTGCATGAAAATTAGTAATTGTCGTCTATGCGCATGTTCAAAGAGAAAGGTCATTTGAATCTGAGAATAAACAATTGCACTTACCCTCCAGAGGAGAGAAACCTCCGTTCATGATCAGCTCGAGATCGCACAGCTGGCGCTCGGTGAGCGTCACAGCGGGGAGAGTCTCGGCCTCGGCGGCGAGCTCGGCGTGACGGGGAGCATCGCGGGCGAGAAGGTCCTTGAGGACACCACCGTGGGGGGCGTTGGCCATAATGAATAATAAAGAACGAAAGATGGAATATGAAGAGAAGTAATGTACAAGAAAAGAAAAGAGGGAAAGGCCTTGGTTATCAAGAAATTTCGAGTATGGAGGGGTGTGGATTGCACCATCCACATCCAACAGAAGTCGTCAACAAGTGGAGACCCGGTGGAAGTCTTGGCTTCGGGGTACAGGAAGTTGTTTGTGTCGTTCTTATGGATATTATATGGATCTTAGGGCTATTAGGGCTATTATTATCTTGTTTTGAATGCTTTATTCAGATAATTAGTACTATACAGCATATATGTCTTCCTATTTCAGCAGTATGAGGGTATAATTCTGATATTCTGATCATCCGAAGACCGATCTACAACGTTGTATAACTATTGTACGTACTGCAGTTTCAGATTGTCAGATTTTCAGGGGCAATACACACCCCCGGAACCCCTGACTGATATCATAGAGGCTTTGATTCTAAAGAAAGATCTTGTACCCCGTAGTACGTAGGAGTACACGTACACTTGGTATACAACCGATATACCTAACGCTATCCGGAAGTCCAAAAGCGGCTTAGCTCGACGCCACATCTGCAGAGGCTGAGGTCATGTGACCAAGCACGTCACCTCCGCGCGGAATCACGACATCCCATCCCCCAATTAGGAATAGATCGGCCGGGTGATCTGAAAACCCTAAATCCGGCTAGAATTCCATTAATATAGAACGCCAATAACCCGATATATTAAAACTATGGACACTATATACAACATACATCTCTCCCTACATATTTTCACTCCGCCTTCACCGTGCTATTGGGAAGCGTGATGGTCAATTTCTCGAAATCCACAGCAAACGCCCCTACCTTCATGGCCGGCTGAGTCGCGTTCGCATAGGAATCGGCCAGGTATTCTTCGATGTCCTCCCCCGAGGACAGAGCGGTGTCAAGTGAGCCTGTCTTCTGCAAAATGTACAACACCGCAATTCGAGAAAACCCAACAACCGTATCGGGAACGCTGATCGCGGTGGATGTGGAGGCAGCGGCAGTGGTTTGAGAGCTAGCCTTGGTAGCGGAGGCGCTCGTCGCGGACTCAGTTTGAGTGGGTGCCGACGTGGTCGTGGCTGTCTTGCTTGATTCCGAGTCGTCGTATAGGATACCGTTCATGGTGGCTTCGGAACGGACAGCTAGGACTGGTGTTGGGTCGGTTTTCGAGACGGATGGCATCGAGTCGGCTACTAACTTCACAGATCGTCGGGTCTTGCTTGTGTCGGTTGTGATAGCGCTGAAAGCTACGAGCGCGTTTTCGGTCGTGCAGGTGACGTCGTTCATGTTGAACAGAGCCATGATTGTGACTGGGTCGAGGGTGATGTTGAATTTCTCCTTGGATTCCTCGAACAGAACAGGAAGTGCACTGCCCATGGTCGCGTTCGATCCGTCACTTATCAGGGCGGTGGTGCAGCTACCATCACCCAAAACGGTGCACTGTGAGCCGATATAACCGTTCGAACATATGCACGAGCATTGGGTGCCGGCTGAGACGCTCACACCTCCATTCTCACAAGGGTTCTTTTCAGCACAGGTCGTGCTCGCATTCTCGCGGGGCACGGCGACAAGGAACACGGGGAGAAGAACTGCCAGAATGACGATGATGAAGATTACGACACAGATGAGCACGAAGATCTTCCGAGGTATTCCACAGCATGTCTTCTTGTGTCGGGGAGCATTAGGGTCGTCGTCGTTCGAGTTTAGCTGCTCGACATTACGCAAGTTAGAGCGTCCAAAGAACACGGGCCATGATGCGGTTGATCCGCGCGCTTCGGGTGTCGCCAAACCGGGCGGGGGAAAAGAGGCAAGCATTTCTGATAAAGAGCCAGAGTTACGTGGTCGGTGTCCTAAGCATACAGCAGTTAGTACTATTTTCGGTTTCCACATAGCCTGGATCCGAAAAACTCACCCATCCCTTTAAACCCAGCCTCATCACCAACCAGATTGGCTCGGCTGGCGGTTCTCCCATGATCCAGGTTCGATGCGAGCTTTGTCGCCCTCCGAATCAAATCAGATAAGCTGGAAAGACTTCCACGAGCCTCTGCATCCCGCAACGCATGCATATTCAGAGCAGGAGGCTTGCGACCGCCAGGCCTCTTGTCACTCATTGTTGGTGCGGCGGTAGGCAGCTGTCCGAAGGCCTCGAGCTCTTTTTCGAGTTGTACATTGGAGGAGAGCGATTCATGCTTTGTGGACAAGGGGGGTTTTTCTAAGTTCAGGCCTTTCGGTGGTTCACTCGATGTAGTAGACGACTTTCGTAATTGGCTTGGTATATGGGGCGCCTGGCTTGCAGCAGCTCCCAGCCCGACAGACCGCACTGCTGTTCCCTTGGCGGATTCCTCCTGAGTAGGTGCTGGCATGTCTACAACGGAAACAGGGTTAGACTTGAGAATGGTACGCATCGTCGGCTTTCCTCGCTTTCCAATACTGGCATTTCGGACAAGCCTCGTATCGTCCTCTTGGAAGCCAGGTGAGCGCTGGCCATCGTCTGAATCTATGTCGTATGCTCCCAGAATCTCGGATTCAGCGGGACCGGATCCCCAGCTTGGGATGGCTCGGCTCGACGCGACGGAGCATTTTGTAAAGCGAGGGTGGGCGAGTTCTTCTGGAATGGGCGAAACAGATGATCGACGAGCCCGAGGGGGCCGTCGCGAATTCAGCGGTGCAACAAGACCTGCCGTCCGGTGTCTAGGCTCATCCTGAGAAAGATCGGACTCGGCTGGCAGAGAAGTGGGTGGAAATTGGGGCAAATCGGAGGCTACAGATTGCCTGAACAAATCTTCCGTTGCGATCGATATTCGAGGAGTCAGGTCGATTGTGCTGGTGGGACTGGCAGGGATATTATCTATCGGCCGGTGAGACTGCGCTAGCGCAGAAGGCTGAGGTTGTGAGGAGGACCGGGGAGGTAATCCCATTTCTGAAACTCGGCTATCTCGTTCTGAGTAAATGGATGGCGAAGGCATTTCACCCGGATGAGGTGGTCTCTGAGGTGGAGGACCACGCCGAACCAAATACCTAGGATGTTGATTGGCCGGGTGTGGTGGGAGACCTGTATCAGGGAGAGGCCATTGTGCCTGGTGGGAGATATTCCTAGGGACGGGAGGTTGTCCCATCTGGGGTGGCGAGGCTCTTTCTGGACGCACGCCGGCATCTAGCATTTGCCTGGCCCGTTTGACGGATCCTTTCCTGGCAGGCTCGCCAGAGGGCCCGGAGTTTGGTAAGTCAGTGCTCATTGAGAAGTATGGCTAGCCTCTCGCGAGAAGTTAGGGCTCGCAGTGTAGGAAGTGTGGCGTGGTACTGCTGTCCAAAAGAGAGACTTGTCTCTCGAATATTGAGGATGATAATGAATGATTGCTCGATGCCTTGATCGAGCTGAAAAAAAAAACGAATGAAAAGATATCAAAAGGATTGAAACCAGAGAACCGGGGTCTGGCCACTGAGCAAGTGTCTACAAGATTGTAGAAGTGGATAAAGCAATGAGAACGATCTAGCAAGGCGAGATCCACAGGATCAAGATCGCAAACGAATGGAAGGGCATTCAATGCCACTGTATAAAACAGTCAGGACCAGCTTCAAGTCATCGTGGAGTTGCATTCGGAAGACTCACCGTTGAAAAAGGGGACTGGGAAAACGAGAGGAACCGCTAGTATCAAACTGGCGTTCAAGGATAGATTAGCCCCAGTCTTTGACCTGGGTAGACTACCAATTCAAATGGGGAGAGCCTCAAGCTCTTCTAAAGGTGGGAAAAAGGAGAGAAAAGAGGCATTGAATCTGACACGACCCAGGGCTAACGCGGTGACATGGAAGCTAGTCCACATCTCAAACGGGAAGTATATTAAGGCTAAACCTCACGGATTAATCTATTCTTCCTTGATTTCGTGCACTTCCCTGTCGTATAAGAGTACGAAGTTGCATATATCCAAAGACTACGTACTCCATATATCCTGCATACTTCCAACCCCCTTCTGATCTGCATAGTACACATGTCGCTTTTCAGCATTGTACTTTTGTAGCAAAAAGAAGGGAAAAATGGAATGAAAGGCCAACCCCCTCAACATGAGACGGCCAAATTACTCCGTAGACGAATCACATCTCGACTATATCAGTGGGGTTGGTGTTAGTCCCGGACGCTAACGTCTCACATAAAGGCTCCCTTGAGTAATTTGAAACTTGTTCAATGAGTTATTGAATATGTTATAGCACATTTATATCCATGCATTGCATATTGTATACTCCATAGGTTTATAGACTCCATAGTACATGGGACTAAAAGACGTTGAATGCAAAAATTAAAGGTGCAGGGCGGCTATAAACTCCGTACTTTGATAGACCAGGCTTTGCACTGAAACACCTTAACCCTACTTAGTATTAGCCAGCCATTTACAGCCCCTTTAAATGAATAATTTATTATACGATAGATATTTCTCCGCTCGAGTCTATGCATCCACAGTGGCCCTGATCTGGGCCCTTCCACATGAACAGTTCGTCATGAGGATATTGGACATTGTTGTCTGAGTCCCATTTTTAGATATGAGGATATGAGGTATTTGCGACTCCCAATTTTAAACACATCTGGTCGTACAAGGTGATCTCCTTGGAACCGCAACAATATAATGCTTTGTGCGACCTGTCAACCAACTTGACCTTGCGACGACTGATCAACCGTGCAATGTCGGACAAAGTCACGGATAATTACAACATGGTCGCATCGGAGGATTCGATTTCCAGCCGAGCCCGTAGTTCGCTTATCTGCTGTTCCAGCGCTCGCATTTCGACCGTTGTACTAGCCAAATCCGGCACCTGATTGTCTATCGCATTTGCGAAAGAATCCTGCGCCCTGCGCAGCGACTGGGGGACCAATATTCCATACCAATGAATTGGATCAGTAGAACGAAACTTCTTAGGAGCGGGCTCTGGTTTCTCGACAGGGGTGACTTCGGTTTCTGCAGTGTCAGAGGGTTCCGAGCTAGCCGTCTCAGCCGGGCTGGTTTCCTCATGTCCACTCTGGACCGGAGAAGAAGCTTTGGTCTCGTTATCCCCATCAGCCTCCTCTAGTGGATCACTGGTTGTAGCTTTGAGGGAGAATGTGTATTCAGGATCAGGTGGCACAGTGATATCCCCTTTCTCTTGTGGATCGTTCGTGGGTTTCTCCGTGTCTTGTTCGGATTGGATTGATCTGTCAATTTGGCCCAGTTAACAAGCGCCAGGAATCAACAACAGCAGGTGAAGTTACATCTTTCTCGTTGCTTTCATGCGCCCATCGTAATAATCAGGACCGTAACGACGGCCAGGAGGACTAGAGAAGTTGGCCTGGGCGAGAGCAAAGAACCCCTACTTTGTCTCAGCATATTTCATGAACCATGATTGACAGCGTCATACCGACGATAGATGACCTGCCAGGCTTGACTGTAGTTTCTGCTGCCGATCAAGCAGATGCAAGTATTTCTCAAGAAGTGTATCCAAACATTGGACTGAATCCTCCAAAGTTATAGGCTTCACCTTCACTTCGGGCGCCTCTGAGCCCGGTCGCGACGCTGGTGGCGTGGGTATTTGAGCCATGGAGAAAAGATCAAAGGCCAATGAAGCAGATATTCAATGCAAATATCCACAAAACCGAGTGACTTGAACAATAAGTCCAATAAAATCCCAAAAGCTTGAGATACAGAAGAAACGTGGAGCAAAGGAGCTCGGCCCCGGTAACTCCGTCATTCGTCTCCGAACCCAAAAGAATTTCCCATTTCTGCGCTTCTTCTTCTTTCTTGCATACTTCAACCCACTGTGTCTCTTGTGTTGTAAGAGACTGTGCTACGATCGATCAAACCCATCGCTTCCTGTGCGATTTAATTTCCCCCGAATCTTTGTTCTTGCAATATCGAACCGCCACCCTCCGATTGCGTTTTTGATACGAGTCATTGCGCCCAACGTACGTGAACTACACTCTGGTATCTCGACCATTGCAATACGAACGGTCGCTCTAACCCAGCAGCTCTTAGGACCACTTCTTGCCGCAGCAGCGCCGTGGCGACCACGCGACCAAGGCGGCATCAGTGATAACCTGGGGTTGACCAAGCAGGCGTCTTGCACTACTCACCTTCGGCTTTTTGGCTCTGATTACCGTCTGAATTCTTTTCAAAATATTACCATAACCTCAGCTATCATGTCTGTCGCGTCCTTGCACCGTGAGACTGCCTTCCAGGCACGGTCTTTGGTATGTCCTCTTGACTTTATATGCGCTTCAACCTCTTGTGTTTATCCTTAAAGCATCAAACTAACGAGCGTCTTTCTCTTTTTATTAGTTCCGCTCCCTTCTGCGCTATTCCGGACAGTTTTCCAACTACAACTTCCGTGAATACGCTCGTCGGAAGACAAGGGATTCGTTCCGCGAGCACCAAAACGCCACAGAGGAACGCCAGATACAGGAACTGATCCAGGAGGGACTTAAGAGCTTGCGCATGCTGAAGGTCAGTGGTGTTACATGGCTTTTTCGGGGTGAAACTCGATCGGTGGCAGATATCGGGGATCTATCCTCAGCCCCGCATATTGAAAGTCGACGAGTCCTCACCCTACCACACTGCCCTACAAATCATCGGATCCAAATCTTGGGAATAATATACTGACATAGCCACAGAGACAAACGATCATCAGCCAGTTCTACCAGTTGGATAAGTTGGTGGTGGAAGGCCAGAAGACAGTAAGTTCTACGTTGGCTTAGGGCCTTCCCCCAGCACTCAAACTTACATTATCTTTGAAGGGAAAGGAAACCGGGAACCATGGAGGCATTGTCCGCCAGAAGGATACTGGGTAAGTCATTCAAATGAAGCTCCAACCCACCTTCTGCATGTACTGACTTGTAGTAGTTGGGATTGATTCTTAGACGTTGGATGGAAACTTGTTATTATTCCATTGTGTTTTTTCGATAACTTGCCAATGGTGGACTAATTAAACACCTGCTCTTTTTTGTATTTATACACCCAGCGATGCAGCTGCAGCTGTAGCTATTCTTTTATCAAGCACCAGAAACACCCATTCCACTCCTGAATCACAATATAAATCGCTGAACAATTTGCTTTCTATCAATCGAGGGACACTGCCACAATATAGATAGCTGCCATAGCAAGATATTGCATCAATGTTCAATAAGTATGCATCACGTGATATCTCTTTACGGTTCTAGCATCGCAACGCGACCGAGTTACACTGCACTGCACCACCACACACTCCATCACATCGCGCTAAAGAATCCTGCCCAGGAGGTCGCCATAAGGACATTACAAGCCTCCTGATCGGGCGCACTTGCCTTTGAATTTGTATAGGGGCATCTGCCATGCCTTCCACGGTACGTTTCAACTTGCCCCCGTGGTGATCTGGCGCCGAGCTGGTTGCTCTAGACACATGGTCATTCCAGATACTAGATCTTTTAATTCCCGAATTAGCTAGCTAAAATCCACCACAGTTCAGAGCCTCGCGCTCGGGGCGACACCTCGACGGTGCCCCAAACCGCACCCGAACCGGCCAAATCGATCACGATGTCTTTGAGGGATTGCCAGTGCGTCGCTGGTCCCGACAGCAGCACACTTTCTCTCAAGCGCCTAAACCTGTTGAGTCGGAATTCGCCGTTCAAGGTCCAGGCGGCGGACCAACGCTACCAGAGCTCCCCATGCCAAGAGACAGCCAGCTCCTACCGCCGATCAGTCGCGCACTCCTTCGAGCAGCCCGTGCTGGATGTATCCATATCCTCCAAGGTAGTCGAACAGAGGATGAGGATAAAAGCGGAGAAGATGCGGATGATTCGGCCTCCGCATCTCATGTGGCCGATCGGAGCTTCACAACTCGCAAATGGATGACGCTTCCCAAGCACCTCGAGCCTGCGGAGGTGGAGTTTCTGGCAAAGAGACGACCTGGTCTTTCATCTCTTTATGGCACCGTTACTACTATAGATGGAAGCTCCGGGCCCATGCGGAGAACGAAATTCAAGAAAGTTGATCCCCAAACAGGCAACATATCTATCTACGAGGCGTGGGTGCCCGAGGGCCATCGAATTGAAGGAGAGATTACTGGCGACTTACAGACATTTGCGGAGCAGAGCAACGTGCCTGTGAAGCCCGAGGCGCCTGCGCCTGGAACAATTGTCGAGGGGGTCGGCATTGTCAATGCCGAGGGTGTTGTTGTCGCGGAGGCTGGATCAGCAGCTGTAATGACTCCTCCAAAGCGACGTCCACCTCCACCTAAGCGA